CCAAATTTTGAGGGCCCTTCAGGAAGCCATCGCCAGAGCTCCACCACAGCAGCAGGTGAGTGTTACCCTATGCTTGCACCGGGGCTCCTCCAAATTGCTGGTTTCTAATTTACCTGGGGCGTCTTGCGCCTCATCTTTTTCACCTGTCTTTGATCACTTCTTTCCTCATCGCCCTCAACAACTATTCCAAAGCACTGACATTTTGCACACTTTCCCTTTACTCTGAGATCTTGCTACCGCCTCCATCTAAAACTCCTTACAACCAGATCCTACTGCTCCCAGCCCATCTTCCAAGGAGGAGGAGTGGCATGGCCTCCCTCCCAGTCCTTCCATCCCATCAATGGAAACTGCCACCTGCGATCTAGTTTCCATTTCCTCCTCCTCTTCCTTCGGAAAAGGAAATTAGCTTCGATTCTCCCTCTCAACTGACATCTTCCTTTCATCCTACAAACATGTTTCAGTCTCTCCCAAGTGTGAAGAATTCTACCATAATATTCCAACCCTTTCAACTACCGTCATGCAGTTGCTGAACAATTAGGTTCATTCCAAGAAATGTATCTCTAAGGTATTTTGTCCTCGTGTGAATGTTACGGAGCATCCTTGATAGTGTAGCCTACTACACACCTGGGCTGTGTATCGTACCACCTTCGTCTGTGCACCCACCCTTGGCTAAGGCGCTGCTAAACACACCAGACTACATCTGGCCTCTTCCAAGTTGCTCTTGGAATTTTCATATGCCTTGTTTCCCATTCATTCTTTTGTGTCTATCATGTATCAGTTAATGCATACACAAAATATACTATCTTTGCATTTGCTTGGGTCTTCTTTTGCATCCTGACTGGGTGTTTTAAATGGTTTTCATGTAAGTACTGGACATATTTGGTTTATAATAGGGGACTTTGTGGTTGCAATTGTAAATGTTCTCACTCACCTTTTCATATATCCAGAAGCAGTAAGGCCTAGTGAAAAAAAGCAAAAATTCTTGGTTTAAATTCTGCTCTAGTTGTGTGACCAACTAGATCTCTGATTTCATTTCCTGATTTATAAATGAGGGTGATAATAGCACATACCTCATGGGTTTGGGGGAAGATGACAAGGGGTTACTGCCTGTAAAACCCTTGGACCAGCGCCTGACCATGCTAAGCACCATGTTGGTATTAGCTATTATTGCATTCTCCTGTTGGGTTGCTGTGAACCGAAACATGCTGCTCCTTTACTAAAACACTTCATTGTTTCAAGTAATTTTTAGTTCTTTTAGGAACTAGAATATTGCATGTCTGAAAATAGTGCAATATTCTTTATAATATTTTATAGTTAATTAAATGCTCCCAGCATCTCCCTGCTAAGCATGATGCTAGCTTTTGGGTATAGATTTATTAGGTTGCCCTATATGTGATTGGTATAAAAACATGTTTTTTTGGTTTTTGGTTTTTTGTCTCATAAGGAATGGGTGTTGAATTTTGATGGAGTTCTTTTCCGTGTCCATAGAATTAGAAGCAAATGTTTTTCTTCCCCAGGACTCACCTCTAGACCAGTCATATGATCAGTCACATTATCAGAACAAACATTTGGTTATGATGTGGCATTCTTTTGCAAACTAGGCCTTTCCATTTTCTCCCTTTGTGTCAACTTTTATCAAGTTTTTAAAGTTTTTGTCTCTAGGCATTGATTCTCTGCTCCATAAAGGTTTGATAGCATGGTCCTATGAAACTATATATTCTGCTAATTGGTAGAGATGGTGAGGAAGATCACTCTCATGATTTGTCTGTTTTTTGCTTATGGAAATCATTAGATGTTAAAGACTCAGGATTCAGTTTTTGGTAAATTGCATTTTCTTAGAAAAAATTTCAAATGTATTCATATAGAATTGAACGGCCTTATATTTTTAGTTTCATCTACTTTTATAGCTATTTCTCCCTTATTTCTTGTTTTGTGCACTCATCTTTATTTTTTTTTTAAATGAGTTGCAGTAATCACTACTTTTTTTTCCCCTCCCAAAAAATAAGCTTTTGATTTTTTGAAAATTCTACTTTTCTGCTCCAGAGGAGGCCATTTTTTACAGCCCTATGCAAAAGTACAGTTTACCCTCAACTACACTGACAGTAGACAAGCACCTTTGAAAATGACACCATTCTGGATGTCACAGATATTATTTCCTGAGGAATATGGTGCAGTACATAGACATGAAGAGGGTGTGTGTGTGTAGAGGAGATGTTATAGTCCCAAGGATCTAGGGATCTACTCTATAAATTTAGAAATTCTTCCATTCTACGAAATTTTTCAATGACAGAAAAACTAGTTTTTAGTTGATTCTCTAATTTCTAGTGAAATTCCAATGCAGCTGAAGTGTTTCTTAAAAATTAAAACTGTATCAATCCTAGGCCTCATCAAACCTTACAACACTTAAGAAAAAAATAACTGTTGGGGACAGAGCACCTGTCATCTGCATTTTCCATTTACCGCTGATCAAGTCAATTAAAACAGAATCAGGAGCAGGATGTAAGCCCTAATGCAGACACTTACTGTGTGATCGGGCAAAATGATGCAACTCGTTTAGCCCTCAATTCATGCTCGGAATCAGAGCATTTTATTTGATAGTTTTCCGAAAGCTTTCCAGGCACTGATAGGCAGTATTAGAATTATCACATTTGGAACCTGTTGCCCCCTGCTGGTACATTGTCAAATTGCAAATTCTCCCTTTCTAATTACAGAAATCGAAGTCTTGATCTGTTTTACAGTTAGTGCATCCAATTTCTGGCTTATAACTCATTAATCCACCTTTTTAGTTTTAATTCTAGTATTTTTTGTAAAGATTTACTTATTTATGCATACAGAACTGGGGTACAGGCCAGAGATGTGGGAGGTGAGAGGATTTACCAGGCAGAATGGGGAGAACAGGCAGATAGACTGAAATACAATACTGAGGGGAGCAGCGGGTGGGTCAGGAGAGGTCTGCCAGCCATGTGGATCAGCTCCTTAGCGGGGGATCCAACTTGTGCTGCTGTGGTTTGCAACAGCTTTCTAGTGCTGTGCTTTAATCCCTTGCACCACCAGGGAGAGCCCACAAACATTCTTAACTTGAATTTTAGAACAATGACACTACTTTTACTATTCAAATATTTCCTTATTTCTTTGCTCCTATTATGATGGATTTTTTTATAATTAAGTCATTTTTAGTTTTATATATTTTGAGGCTATTTTAAATTGGTATGTACACAAGTAATATTATTTTAATTTTGTGGCTTATTAATAATTAAAGTAGCCTTTTCTATCCCTGTTTTTCCCAATGTGGACATAGCTTTCGACTTTCCTTACAATGTATTTTCTGTGAATCGTTTTTATTGCTACATTTTCCAACTTCTGTGTCCATGTTTAAGTTGTATTCCTTGGTAAGGAATTTTGCTGTATGATATTTTCAATTGGAATTTTTTAAATAATAGTTTATTTTTACATCATTTTATGCATTTTTTCATCTCAGTTGTTCAACTGGAACTTTTAACTGGAGTTTAGTCCTTGATCAAGTAAACATTCTCAAAATCCAACTGGCTTTCACATATCCTGCCAGTATATGCTAGCAAATTTACATTTTTGATGTCTAGGTTCTTTTTTACCCTTCCAGCACATCCACAGTCAGACTTTGCTGGGATTAACCCTACTTGTAGCTTGTAGCCCTGGATCTGAGTGAGTTAACAAGGCAGCAAAAGGGGCATATGGACTAGAAGACTCTCTGGCATCTTCTAGCATAGGGGGGAGATGAAGTGGGCTATTTCTGTAAGACCAGTGGGTACCGTAGGGGTTATATAGCAGCATCCTTAGGCTTTCCACACATATGCCGAGATGGTATATTTCAGGGGTCCATGTTTTTTCCACCAGGCTCCTTTTCACAAGACAGACAGACCTTGACCAACTATTCAAGTCTCTGAAACTCTAAGAGTACAGCAATTAGATGCTTAGCCTGAACCTCAGCCTTTCCATCACAGAAAAAAGCAATTAGATGCTGAGCCTGAACCTCAGCCTTTCCATCGCAGAAGAAAAGGCCTCTTTGTAAGTTCTACAGAGATCGGCTGGCTCTATTTCAGCAATAGCAGCTTGATAACAGCAGTCTCTCATTATCCTTCCATAGGTCATTGATACCGCCTGGCAGTAACCAGCCAACTCTGCTTGTAGACATTGTTCTCATTTTTTCAAAGTTTGCATCATTGAACCTTCAGAGAATTCCCTCTCCATGGAGACATGCAAATTACTACCTATGTCTGGGTAGACCCTGAGGCTGAGTGATTTACTGTAAGAACCTATAGGAATAAACAGACCTGTTTTTTTTAAAAAAATAACAGGTAAATTATGGTTTATTTATTTGCTTGTAAATAATTATTAGAGAGAAAGAACATCAAGCAGATTTAGCAAAGGGAAAAGGACTTGCGCAAAGACCAGAGGAAACTGCCTATAGACTCCAAGTCCTCTTCCAGTGGGTCACAGCAGACTACTTCAATTCCTCCAGTAATGGTGTATCAAATACTACCAGGAAGGTTTCTCTGAGCCTGAGCAGTTTTTTAACTAGCCATTCATGCATGTAGGCATTAGTATGTACCAAAATTCCAACGACCAGAAGGAAAGTAGGAGTCTGATATAAACCTTTATATTTATACAAACATTTTTAGTAGACTATTCTTAATAGTTGGAAAAATGGTAGAAGCACTCCCAAAATACAACTGCTGGACACTACTTAAGGGTGAAACTTGGAAGCAAGTCTTTCTACAGATAACAGGTTTCGGTTTGCTAGTTAGCTCTTTTCTATACACCATCTGTGAAATATTTAGAACTGAGCCAGGATCTGTACCATGTGTACACTGGTCACCAATCACGACGCTATTTCCTTCACCCTTTGAGAGGGATATGAACTGGCTCCTGTTAACCTGTTTCCTCAGATCCTCACTGCTGGTCCACTTGTATTAGGATGCTCCCCCCACCTCCCCTACCCCCAAGAAGCAGATACCAAAAGATCAGTTGTACAATAGGTTTATTAGGGGAATGCTGGTGAGGGATAGGGAGGGAGCTGGGATTGACAGGAGGCTGGAAAGCAACCAGACCCCAATACAAGTATGACCCAGAGTGAAAAAGAGCAAGGGAGGTTGGGTGAAAGCAACTTAGACAAGACCATCAGGGAGTCCTCAAGTCAAAGTCCAGGAGTTACAATATCCCTGTGGTGCTCAGTCATTGGTGGACACAGTGCATGAGAAGCACAGCCTGCATGAACACAGGGCTGGATTTCAGAGCGCGGCAGACAGGACTCAGTTATGCTCCCTCTTGCTGGAAATCTGAGGGATGTATTCTTGAGACTGCCACACAGTGCTTAGAGTTCTCAAAATACACCTGAAAAAAAATGTATTATCAAACAAATATTTAGCACCAATAGCACATGGTAACTTGCAATCAATACCTTTTAGTTTAAACAATGTTGTAAAACACCTAAAATAGAACACTGATGCAACAACAAAAATGCAAATAATCTTTCACATTGAGCAATATCCTGTGCAGATGAATTCAGTGAAAAAGATTTTTTCCCCCAAGAAACTGAAACTGAACTGAAAGTTTAAAATGACACAAATGATAGCATCTATTAGTACTAGGACTAAATCAAGGTTAGTCACTGACCAAAAATAAAACAAAACTATTTCTAAATGTTCATAACTAGTAATTTTCTGAAATGACTTATATTCATGTTTAAATGATCATTGGTATTTATCTTCAGATTGACCTCAAATATCCTTGACAGAAAGTTATTCCTGTACAATTTTATGCTTTTAATCCTTAAGCTGACTAGAAATGACTGTACGTAAAACTTTTGAAGCCAAGAAATTGGAGTGTTTACAAATGTTTCTAAATTATATTACACATAATTTGGAAACTTTCTAAATTATATGTGCATAGATGAGAAACTGAAAGAATACCCTTACATAATATCTAATAGGTTTTCTACTTCTTACATATAAATGTTATCCCCATAGGTAACATTGGCTATTGACATTATAACAGAAAATTAAGCCAAGAATACAAGTTTTTGTCCTCCACTGTTTCAACATAAAACTGTCCCCAAAGTTGCTCTGGCAGTTATTTCCAACCAAAATGCTTTTAACTAAATGATCAAATAGTTCTGAATAAAGATCAAACATTTAATTTATAATCCTCCCAAAAATCGTTCCACTATTATAACTAGGTTCAGCCTTTGCATGGATTTTGTGACATGTTGGCACAAATGATAGAAGCTCTTAGAAATAATAAACCAAAATACTGTGAAGAAACAGAATGTTTATTTTTATCAGATCAATATCATTTTAATGTAATTAGTTACAGGTGATAAAAATTATTAACTAGATATAATATAGCTGTCATAAATCCTATAGAATGTGGCTGACCTTAAGTGGAAGACTGGGAGGTGGAATAGAAAATTACATAATAAGGATGTCAAAAAATGTGTAACTGACATGGATAAATCATGAATCATACCTTTTTTCCCTTAACTTGAAAAAAGGAGCCCAGTGTAGAAGGAATAAAGCTAGCACCAAGGACAAGCTGTGGTCATGTTTGCAACTTTTTAGTTATAATGACCAAGACTCACAAAATTTTATTACTCCTGAAGAGATCTGAATAAATCTTATAACCTAAATATTGCTTTTCCATCATATTTGTAAAAAAGCTATTGTAGAAGAGAATTTTAGAGGTTGAAACATAATTCATAAACACATAATCCTCATACTTCTACTGAAAATTTTTTCTCATGTTTTGCTGTGAAGTTGTCTTGTTTTTTAATTGTAAGGACTTTACAACAGTCTCTTCTGTTTGGTTCTGTTCTAGAAATTCCAGTGTCATGAGGTTCTTTCCTATTAATGTACAAATATAAAAGTAGCTTCTCCTTCAGTCCTTTCAAAAAAGTTTCTTATTCCTAGTTCATCCCCCAAGAAGCATGTCGTCCAAAAATAACTTCATCCCCCAAGAAGCATGTCGTCCAAAAATAACTGGTACTTTATAAACACCTGGCAGGAAACTCACAGTAGCATCAGAGCAACAGTGTTCTCAGGCAGGCTTGCCAAACAAGGTGAAGCAGGAATGAAAAGAGAACTGATACGTGTAATTTGAAACTACCTGCAAAAATTTTATTCCCCATGAGAGGAATTTATATCATAATTATCTCATACCATCCTTATTACATAGACTGCTAATTTAAGGCCAAAAGAAAAAACCTCATATTTACTAGACAGTTCTTTAAAAGCATAAACTTTTAGCTAACATTTACTATAGACCCGATCATAATAAAGAAAATTCTATGAAAAAAAAAATGCCATGGTTATTTCATCCCATGCTTACTAGAGGATAAGAACAATGTGGTATTAAGTCACAAAAGGTTTTCAAAATATGCAGTTTGGGATTTTTTAAAAAGCTTTTAAATAATAGGCTTATTAGGAAAAGGAAAAGGAAAAAGAGAGGCACCTGCATAGTCACAGGAGGGAATTATTTTGACTAAATGAATACACAAGCTAAAATCCAGTTCACAGAGCTGGGAATTATTTTGACTAAATGAATACACAAGCTAAAATCCAGTTCACAGATTTCATGCCATGTATGGGCTATGTGTTTGGAGAAGAAAAACATAAAGGCTTTTTTCTTTTAAAGACCTAGCCTGTCAGGAGCAAACAATATCATGTAGCTTACCTATTCAGTTGTACAATTAAATACCAGCGTTGAGAGTCAACATTATGTTACAAGGTATTTTAATATCAGTAACAATATATGCTATGAAGTGCATATCTATTACAAAAAAACATGGTGATATATAATGAACAAAACCTCCCAAAACAAACTATAAATGAACAACGGTTAAAACATAAAATTTATAAATAGCAAAGCCACCAAATAAAGTATATACATTTTATAGATTTACTTATGAACAAATATATAGTGTATCTAGGAAAGGCAAAATGTTTTATTTTTTTATATCACAGAACATCTGAATAAGAAATGAAACGACTGATAATATGCTAAAAGCCAACTGGCTCTCTCCCATTTAATAGTCCCTCAAATGCAGATTCTTTAAAACAATACTTAACTGCAGTGTTTTCACTTTCCCCAACAGGGGACAGAGGCCTACACATGGGTAAGCAAGAGAGCAAGTATACCATGCGTAATCTTGGGATAAAGATGGTAAAACTTTAGTTTGCATATAAAAAATACTCCAGTCAGACATACGACATGAAAAGTCAACCAAAATAATAACTATATTAAAATGTCGTCACCTCAGCTTGTCCACCAGATGTTTTAGCTTTTAAGATTGGCAAATCAGTCACTTGGACAGAAAACTGCTGTTTGAGTGCAGTATTTTTCATGACATAGTAATAAGTTTGAGCTTTTTACTGACTGAAAAATTTATCTTTAAGTGCCAGGACTATTACAAGGCAAACTTTATGAATAACTCAAAACATGTAAAATTATCATTTGTGGATCACGAATTGCTGAGACTAAACAATAATGCAATGCTCCAATACCATGCACATAGATCAACATAATTGAAAACAGGCATTTTATACTTATCTGCATTTCTTCTAAAAACTAAAAAATACAACAAACAATAACTTCAGAAACTTTCAGGCGCAGCACTGATTAAAGATAGCTTAAAGAAAATTATTTTGAACTGTACTGAATAAAGCTGAAACAGAAACTCATAATAAATGATCATTAAGGACTGATTTCTATCAGGATACACAATAAATTTTAAGAAAATAAAACCATTCTTTAAATTAAAAGAAAAATAATACGTCAATCCTACATTTCTGCAATTCATTGAGTCAAGTTCTGCCTTTGAAATACCACACTAACATCCTGGAACATAAAATATGAGTTCATTTATTTTCTTGTACTTAACGGCTATTTCTTATAAAATTCTGTTTATCACTGTCCATCCACTAAATGGAGGAGAAACCAAATAAAACAGTAGTGCTTCATTCGGTATATATAAGAACCTAGTGACATCCCTGTGGGAAACACATGCTTTGGTGCTTTACAGTTTTAAGAAAAATCACAATTGCTTTACATGCAATAGCTAGTTATACCACAGAAAACAGGGAGTTTATGCATTAAGAATTGTTTACATGAAGCCCTGAGGTACCCGCCTTTCATTTAGGCAACAAATAGCCTCCCTTGATCTTGTATAGTCTTTGTCACCGTCTTCCCTAGTGCCTCAAATTCAGAATAGTTTAATTAGCAATCTTGTCTGCAGCCAGTCAATTTAATAAGATTTTTTATGATACAGACTGTGCAGATCATCTAATTTTGAAGCATTGTCTTCTAGTGGAGTTTCACTCGACGTTCCGAGGTCTCCATTTTCATGTCCATCAGTTACTGCTTTCTTATTGAAACCTGGAACAAAGACAAAAGCAGACACTTTCCAGTCTTAAAAAGAAGCTCCTAATTTCACTGAAACAAAACAAAGGAATGACTACTATAATTCATATTAATGAGGCAACGTAACAGAGCCCTAGATCAATCAAATTAATAATTCCTGACAAAGGAATTCTTCCTTCTTATAAGATATCAAATACTTTACAGGCAATGTCCAGCTAAAAGATTAATTAATTTTGCTTAATCTACAAAACGAGGAGGCTAGCAAACAAATGAGACTATGTGATCAGTTTAGTGAGCTTGACATAGGAATATGTGTTAAATAAGAATATATATACATTTTGTGATTTGAGTCAGTTAACAGTAATATGTCATTTGGTTAGTTAAGATATATTTTAAGTGGTATGCCATTTACACAGACAAAAGAGAATTCTTTTAGCCTTAGATGCAAAAAGGGTAGGTTTTCTTACACTGACAGAAAACAGTAGGATAAAAGATAATGAACTACAGGGAGAGATGCTATAAGGTTTTGACATACTGCCACAAAGGTTTTGTTCAACATGCAATGGAAAACAGTTACTGACACTGCTGTCTGTGTAGATGACTCTGAACATATATAACTTTACCAAAATGACAACAGTTCATCCGTTCACAATAATACTTTATGCCAGTAGCTTATAAACTTTTAAGTCTCAGGATGCTGTTATATACCAAAAAAAAAAAAAAAGAAGCTTTTGTTTGTGTGGGTTATTAAAAAGCTTTTGTTTGTGTGGGTTATTAATGTTATATGGACTATTGATGTTTATCATGTTAGTAATTAGAACTGAGAAATCTGAAAAAACTTTGTTAAACTGACAAATGTTGACAAGTAATTACGTGTTCAGTGAAATAACTATTTTTTAAAACTAATTAGTCTGAAAAGTAACATTTTACAATTTTACAGCTCTCTTTAATGCCTTGCTTTATAAAAAAAAAAAAAAAACAAAACAACAACAACTTGATTCCCAGGCCTCCCTGGTTGCCTAGGGGTTAAGTCTCAGCGCTTTCACTCTATACTGCTGAGGCTTGAGTTCGATCCCTGGGCAGTAAAATAATCCACATGGTGAAGCAGACCTTTCCTGTTCTGCCCACTGCTCCCCTCAGCAGTGGCATTTTAGTAGATCTACCTGTTCTGCTCCCCACTCTTGTCTCTGGTGAATCCTCTCACCTTGCTTCCCAGCCCCCAACTTCTGGCCTATACTCCAGTTCTTCTACACATAAATAAGTAAATCTTTAATAATAAAAAAAAGGCTGGATTCTATTTCCTCCTGCTTAATCTGTCACAAGTCTATGAAACAAATCTGTTTAGTTGGAAGAGAGGTGTACTTTTTTTTTTTATAAGATTTATTTTATTTGTACATACAGAACTGGGATACAGGCCAGAGGCTCAGGGGCAGTGAGAGGCTTCACCAGAGACAGAGCGGGAAGCAGAACAGGCAGATCAACGAAGTACACTGCTGAGGGGAGCAGCGGGCAGGTCAGGAGAGGTCTGCCACGCCATGTGGTCACTCCGGGGCAGGCGGGAATCGAACTCATGCGGAGGTGGCTTTAGCTTCTCAGTGCTGTGCTTTAACCTGCTGCACCACCAGGGAGGGCCAAAAGGTGTACTTTTACTAGCTTTTGTTAGATGACTGTCAATATTCTTCTTTGATACTGAGCCAAAATTGGACAATATGGAATTTGAAACCATATCAATTAACTTTTTTCCATTCACTTTGTCTACCTTGTACTTTCAATGGCTCTTTTCCTAATTTAGGTAAGAGAAAAATCTAGAGAAGCCTAATAAGACCATGCACACTTCCTGAATGCAATAGGAAAGACCCAGTACCACTGAATAACTCACTATGTGAATTTTAAATGCTATGTGGCATTTAAAGCCAAATGGCGCTTAGCCAGGATGAGAGAAGTAATTTAAGGCATTTACTGGGGAAAATAATTGTACTTACACCTTCTTCATTGAGAAGAAAAAAACAAATTAAGTCTTGGATTGTGAGGGGGGAGCGAACACTTAAGAAAGCAGCTTCCATTTAAAATTAAAAGCAACGTCTACCAAAACTTCAGAGCCCCTCCCATTAAATAAAACTGCAACCAAGATAATGCTATTCATTCTATTAATGAAGGTTTCCTCCTCAGAACGTATGCTAAAGAATATTGGAATGGTATATTTTTGAAGTTTATTAAAAATAAGTATAACAGTTTTTAGGGTGATTTTTACCTTGTAACACTTTGATTTCCCTACTTGTTTCTTTGCAACTAGCACCAGGATTACTACCTCCCTCTAATTCATCAAGGTACAAACGATAACGATGTCCACTCTCATCTTCATATTCCACATTTTCATCATCAGAATCCACTTCAGGAGCCACGTAAACTACTTCAAATTCGATCTCTCCTCTCTAAAATGGGGGAAAATGAGGAAATCAGGTTGTAATGATAGTTTCTTTGCGGTGAGGGATATAGAGCTAAGGGGTCTTCAGGCCTCTCACATGTAGTACTTTTCTAAACAAGAGATAATGAAATTTTACAATCTCAAGAGGTAAGAGATTTTAAAAGCCACCATGTTCAAACAAACCCTGTGAGTCTTCTCCGTAATTTCCTTTTAATATTCCAATATCCCTTTCTACAAATCCAGATTTTTGCTAAGAGACCTGAAATTTAAAAAGATGCCTAAGTTTTCACAATTTACAGCATTCTATAATAAATGTTCAATTTAGATGTTATTTTGTCATTTTGCACTTTACATGGCAATTCAGCAAATCCATCTAGTTAGATATTAACGCTGCACCTAAGTGCATCAGACAAACATTTCTTTGACTAATTCAAGCAACTGCTACCCAATGATTTTTCTTACTAAATAAGTCTTGAACCTATTACATTTCCTGAGTACCAGACATAGTGTTAATCAAGATAGTAATAACCGTAATTGTTATTTACAATTATTATCTTTATTGCACAAAAAATTAAAACCTTCAATGATAGTCTCATACATGCATAAGATGTTTGAGTTCTAGAGAGAGCAGCCAACTCTGGCAAAATAAGAAAAAGTTGGAGTTGTTTTTTGTTTTTTTTTAACATTTATTTATTTATTCATACAGAACTGGGGTACAGGCCAGAGACTCAGGGGCGGCAAGAGGCTTCACCAGAGACAGAGCGGGGAGCAGAACAGGCAGATCGATGAAGTACACTGCTCAGGGGAGCAGCGGACAGGTCAGGAGAGGTCTGCTGTGCCATGTGGTCACCTCCGGGGCAAGTGGGGATCGAACTCATGCAGAAGTGGCTTTAGCTTCTCAGTGCTGTGCTTTAACCCGCTGCGCCACCAGGGAGGGCCAAAAGTTGGAGTTCTGACTCCAAAGTCCTTGCTCTTTGTCCAAGATTAAATAAATAGTATTTTTAATAACAACTTATTGTTCAAGTAAAAAATTATAATTTTCCATACATCCTTGACTTGTTCTCCTTTCCCTCCTCTCTCTTAATCTCAAGTCTCCATTTACCAATGTCCACTGCTTTTTATAACAGTATTTTACTCTGATGAATCACCTATTATGTAAACTACCAATATTTGTTTTTGTCATTCTGATTTGCTTTACTACATATAACTCCTTCAAATTCCTTTCATTTTACTTTAAATGTAGTTCTTTTTATTCTTATGCTTTATTTGTCTAGTTTTGGCATTAGATTAATATTGATATCAAAAGAAAAGAAAACAATTTGAGCAGGATGGGCATAATAAATTCATAAATTCTTCTTTAAAAGTTTAATAGTGGGCCCTCTCTGGTTGCACGAGGGGTTAAAGCACAGCACTACGAAGTTATCTGCTGCCCTGCAGCACAAGTTCAGTGCCCATTAAGGGAGCTGACTCACGTGGCACAGCAGACCTCTCTTATCTTGCCAGCTGCTCCCCTCAGCAGTGTGTTTCACTCGATCTGCCTGTCCTGTTCCCCACTCAAGTCTCTGGTGAATTCTCTCACCCCCACCCCTGGTCTGTACCCCATTTTTTATATGCATAAATAAAAAATTTAAAAAAAAATAGTTTTATAGTGGGCGTCCCTGATGGCCTAGGGGTTAAGTCTCAGCGCTACCATCACTAAAGCTTGAGATCATGCCCAGCCAGGAAGACAACCCACAAACAGCACAGCAGACCACTCCTGCCTCGCCTGCTGTTCCCCTCAGCAGTGTATTTCAGGACATCTGCCTGTTCTGCTCCCCACTCTGTGTTTTATGAATCCTCTCATTCCTGCACCTCTGACCTACACCCTAGTTCTTCTATGCATAAATAAAAAAGTAAGAGTTTGATACAATTCACAAACAAAGCCATCTGTTCCTGAGCTTTTGCTTTGACAGAAATATTTGACTACTAATACAATTTTCATGCTTGTGATTTATACCTCCGTATATTCTGTTTCTTCCTAGCTTAATCTTACTATGCTCATTATGCTAGAAATATGTCCATCTCTTTAGGGTTATCAAATTTACAGTTTTTCATAATAACCTCTTATGTTCCCTATTTATGCTATCTTTTTAATTTCTCATTTCCCATTTCTAATTAATTATTTATTAATGTTTTCTCTCTTTTTTGTTAGCCTGGAGAGAAGTTTGTCAATTTTATCTTCCTAAAAAAACCAACTCTTAGATTCATTGATCTTTGGTATATCCTTTCTGATTTCTACTTTATTTATTTGTGCTCTTCATATTCTTTTACTTTTGCTTACTTTGGGTTTTGTCTTTTCCTCCTTTTCAAGTTGCTTTAGGTGAGATTTTTCTTAATATAGTTCCAATTATCATCTGTCTTAAGACTTCTTTCACTAACATTCCACAAAATCTAATGGCTTGCTTTAATTTTCTCTTTCATGCAATAGTTGTGAACTTATTGTTTGGTCATCATACTTTTTGCTTTTTTTAATAGCTGATTTCTAGCTTTTTGTGTTTTACTCATGAATGATATTTTGCTTCCTAATATGAGCTCTAGCTATGAGCACTTTATATGTATAATGTACTTAAGTCTCAAGATCCCAGATGAGGACACTGTAGCACAGAAGACTGAAGTAACACAATCAAAGTTATATAGCTGTAGACAAGAACAAGTAGGAATTTCAGCCAGTATATGTGGTTAACTATCTTCTACAAAATTCCAAATCAAAGGAAGCTAGTATCTTAAAATACACAAACATTTAAGATACTGAATTTAGTAGACTGAAAAGAACCAACTGAGTGATCTAATTTAATTATATAAAATGGCTTACCTGCTGGGAAAGAATGGTGACAGCTTCTTTATGCTTTGTGTCTCTTAGGTTAACCCCATTAACAGCCAGAATAGCATCTCCAACATGTAGACCTCCACATCTGTCAGCAGGTTGTCCTGGGTGGATCTCAGAAATGAGAATTGGAACACCATGCTCTTTCCCACCCTAACAACAACAAAGCAGTAAATTAGTTTATTCTTTGTATACTCACAGACTATTCTAGCAATACAAGTGTCTTTTAATAAGCATCTATACTGTATACTGAGTGAAATGTTACTTGACACTTATCAAAAAATATAAAAATTTCTACATTAATGGTAGATAAATTATTATGCTTATCTGTTACCTCTGAGTAAAATGATTAATAACATACATGTGCCCTTCAAAAATATTCCAGAGCAGAAAATAACTACAACCAATCTCTTCTGTGAAAATATGTATATTAAATACATAAATACGTTAAAATGGAAATATGTATATTAGTAATATACAACACCATTAGGTTTCATCACATCTAAATCACTATGAATGACAGAGAACACCGTTATCTGTTTACCAGAAAAATAAATGTAAGATTATAAAATGAATCTCAATTTCAGAGATTACAATGTAAAAAAAAAGTATGCAAGGAAGAATTAGTGAAATACAGTATTTCATTCCTACTGCTTTTTAATTTATGTCCTATATATGTACACACACACACACATTTCTCCTAACAAAATGAATGCTCTTTGAAGGCAGCACATTATAAAAAGCAGATAGGTATTCAATAAATATCCATTGAAAAACTTTTATTATAAGAAACATTCTTACATTAAGCAATACCAGAAGGCAACTGATCTCATACCGTGCCTAAGTATTAACAAATGAATATTAAAGTCATCTTATCCATTCATGTGGAATAAAGCACTGAGCAACAGCAAAATGACTTCCTTATTAATAAATTGCTCTCAGGAATGTTGCTCAAGACAACTGCTGCTTACAAAGCCATCAAAGTTAAAAGGAAGGCTAGCTGAAGCCAAGAGGTGGCAGTAAAGTATGACGGCAAAAAACTGAGACAAAAGGAAGCGAACACACTCTAGCAAAAGAACATACAATCTGGAGTTATTTGACATAAAAGAAAAGTCAAATTAATTTTCCAAAGGTTCTTAGAGACATTGGTGTGGTACTGCACTACTACCTGAATCATAATGAAAGATATGGTTACTAAAGGCATACCTAACAGTTAGTATTAGGAGGGTTCACGTTTATAAAGCTTATATAAAAATGTGTGTGTACATGGGGAAAATTATTTAGAAAATATATCTAGAATACTTTGTTTTCCAATAATGTCCAACAAAGAAGCATGGTTATACTATAATTTTAGAAAAGACTGGAAGCACTACTTCTTACTGTAATTGAAATCCCAAGGCCTTCATGATCTTCCTTAAGGAGGAGCACTTTTCTAATTGGACCAACACCTTGGCTTTTCTTTAAAGAGTCTTGATCCTTTTTGCAGTGAGAAAAAAAAAAATTATTACTTAAATACAATAAATGGAATAAACCAGTCCTATAAAACTTGCTTACAGATATTTTTATTAATCTCATCAAATAGATACATAGTATAGGTAGTTAGTAGATAAAAATGGAAAAGTAAAGTTACCCGTCAATGTAGTGAAATGTGATTTTCTCACCCTTTTGTCAAGTTCTTTCATATTGATAACATCTTTTTTTAAACTACAGGACTTTACAAAAGACATTATTGCCAAAAATTAATTGATGAACAAATATTTTCAACAAAAATGGGTAACTTTATTTTCACTAGAAAATATCTTAAAGATGTACATTTTCACAAATTTATAGAATTGAAAAACAAAATAGGCAACTGGATTATTGATTCATTTTTCATGCCTTTGGGCTCTGGAGTCTACCACTTAAATAAAGGACCTTACTCCATTAATAATTCTTTCTCTGGTATCTTTACTCATTTCCTCTCTTAGCTTCTTCCCTATTCAACTTATAAAGTCTAAGCCTCTTCCAGCTTTAAGATACTGAAAGTGTATAAATATAAAACAAAATTAAATAATGACCTACTATCTTCTTTAGTTACTATCCTACTCTACTTTCCTTAAGCTTCACACACAACTAATCCTCACCATTTAACTAGATTTCTTCCTTTCCAAATACTCCAATAACATTAACTATCCTAATAACTATAATTAGGGTTTTACCCCTACATAATCCACTGAAACTATATTCTCTACAGTCACTGGTAATTACTAAGACTAACTCTCATGAACAGTCACTACTTTACACTACTGTCCTACTGGCTTATACTTGATTGTATGTATAGGTTCTATCTCAGGCTCCTTTCTTTCCTCCTATTACTTCATAAGCTTTCTTACCATCCATGTCTCCTATTTTCTATTTAACTGAGGTAACACAGGCTGTGTTTTAGGAGTACAGAATCCTCCAGGTGCTGATGCTATACCACATACTCAACCATACTACCCATAGAGTGCTCCACTCGCCATAGTTCAATGTGCTTCTTCCCTACTTCTTTCTCACCCCACAACTGTGGTAGTCTCAGTTTTGTCATGTATGATCTTCTTTACATTGAGCTATGTTCCATCTACCCCAGTTTTTTGTGGGTTTTTATAACTGATGTTGAATCTTCCTTGGCACCTACTGATGTGATCATACAATTTTTATTTTATTTTATTTATGTGGTGAATTGTGTTGATTTTTAGCTGTAAAGCGTTTTTGTGCATGTGGAGTAAATCCCACTCTATCATTATGTATAATCTTTTTAACGCACTGTTGGATTTGGTATGTTAAGATTTTGTTGAAGATTTTTGCATCTATATTCATTAGAGAAACCGGTTTGTAGTTTTCTTTTTCTGTGTTGTCTTTGTCTGGTTTTGATATTCCAGTAATACTAGCCTCTTAAAAAGTCTTTCTCAACTTTTTGGATGTTTCAGAAGGACAGATATTAGCTCATCTTTGAAGATTTGGTATAACTTACGAAACTGAACCTGAACTTGTGTTTTTTGGGAAACATGATTACTGTTTCAATTTCCTTGCTAATAATTAATTGGTCTGTTCAGGTTTTCTGTTTATTCCCTATTCAGTCTTAGGAGGTTCTATATTTCTAATTTTTCCATCTCAGGTTATTCAACTTACTAGTATACAAATATTTATAGTAGTCTCTTAGGATACTCTGAATTTCTGAGATGTGCTGCAATATCTCTGGCTTCATTTCTGACCCTATTTAGTTGAGCTTTAACCTTTATTTTCTTTTTGACTCGCTAGAGGTTTGTCTATTTTGTTGATTTTTTTCCCCAAAGAACCAGCTTTTGGTGTCAATAATCTTTTGGATTATCTTTTTATTTCATTTATTTCTGCTCTAAGTTTTTATCATGTCCTTCCTTTTACTGGCTTTGATTTTATTTATTCTACTCTTTCTAATTCCTTGGGTAAGAGATAAGGCTAATAATTCAAGCTTTTTCTTGCTTTCTTGATGTGGGCCTGTATTGCTATACATTTTCCTCTTTGTGCTTCTTCTGCTATGTCTCATAAGCACTGAAAGGTTGTGTCTTCATTATCATTTGTTTCTAGGTATTTTTATACTTCCTCTTTGATTTCTTCCTTAACCCAAGAGTCACTCAGTAGTTTGCTGTTCAGTCTCCATATATTACAAGCTTTCTTGCTATCTTTTAGTGGTGGATTTCAAGTTTGATACCAGCTATATATCCTTTTTATGCTCTATATATTGTCCTGGGTGAATGTTTCAACTGTAACAGATTGATGATTTCCCTAATATTTCTTCAACTGAAACTACTTTCCTGTATTCCAGACTCATATATCCAGCTGGATATATTCTGACTGTCCCACTCATACCACAAACACTACAGTCTAAAACTGATCTTAGCATGTTTCTCCTAAAACCAACATTTTCCTCTATTTGTTTGTTCAGATGATATCATAATCTTCTCACTTTTCAAATCCAATACCTAGACTTTTTTTTCCTCATTTACCTACTCAAATAAAAGTTTGCTTCTAATGCTCTCAAGCATGCCCTTCCTCTCAAATGTACTTCTGCTATCATAACATTCTTCTTGGATTCCGAGAGTATCTTTCTAATGTAACTCCTTGAATCCAACAAGGCCTTCCTTCTTCCCAGACATACTCTTCACTATTCCAAAGTAACTGTCAAAAAATGTTAAATCTTATTAAGGCCATTATTTTATTTAAAAAATCCATAGCTATCAGGTTAAAAGTTCAAACTACTTTATTTAGCATAAAGTAACTTGTCATCTGGTCACTACCTAGTTGTTCCTGGGAAACACGAATCACCAGAGAAAATAACAGGGTACATGTTTATAACAATCCCTATTTCTCTCCATACATACAGATTCTTCTTAAATAATCTTTGCAGAGGCAACAAATTTACTATTTAAGGTCTTTCTTTCTATAGTTTTAGGAAATATGAGCTACTGGGTAAGAGTCTGACATGCTTTATTGTATTAACATTTGTATCACCAGGTGGCTGTTGTGATGAAATTTAACAAAGATTTGTCCAAATAGAAAGAAATGTCCCTATACAATGGTAGTTTAAAAAGAAGACAACTGGACACAGAACTCAGATTTCATCTTAATTCAAGACCAAAAAGGTATAAATATTATTTCAGAAACTACATTTAAATTTAGTTCAATTCCTTAAAGAAGTACCCAGAAATATTAGCCAAATTACCAATATGACCAACTCACACTCCCTGTTAAACTTAAAAAATATTAAACCTACCTAATCGTGATGCAGAAAATCAAAAAATATGGCCCAATATAATATAAATGTACATTTGCTAACAACACTTCACGGTGTTCAGCGATAATCACTTTCAGGGCAAGTCAGTCTGCTAAAAGCTACAGGTTGTCGAAACTTTAAATAAGTACCTGTTTTAAATAAGTTAGATCCCATTTCACTAAATAAATAAAGGCTTTGCAAACAATTAAAATGAAGAAAATAAAATGATCTTCTGGTTACAGAAATAAGAAATAGACTAAGTAAGGTACAGCCGCAAACATACGTGGCCTGGTGGCGCCTGCATTGGTCGTTTCAGGTCATTGCGTCCCCTGCAGGCTCTGATAACAGTTTTGTGACGATGCAAATGTATTTCAGCTTCCAGCTGATTCCACAGTTTATCATGAGCAGGTCCCTTCATATCACGTCCTAGTAACTGTATTTGCTGGACTCTTAATATTGGGGACAGGATTAATTTAGTTACTTTTTCAGTATGTATCATATCGACAAAATTCAGAAAAATACTAAAAATAAAATACGACATGCATCTGTTAATAATAAAACTAACAATCAGAGACCTCCTGTTTTAGATTTATAGATATAAAATTCCTGAAAAGGACAGGCATTTTCATGGGAAAATTAGTTTATAAAAATGTATGAACAAGAATTTCTTTAGTCATATATTTAAGTCATATATATCTAAAAACAATTCAGGACACCGATTTCAACTAACATGTGCCTCATGCCTTGCTGCAATCAGGACAGGTTATGAAACTCAAATACTGAATGCCCATCTTCAGATGAGGCTAATTGTACAAAGACATTTCTTCTAATGAGAATTTCTTTTTACAAAATGGTTATTCTGCTTGTGGTAAAAGTTGACAGAAAGGGTGCACCTTAATATAAAATTTTACAGGTTTCACATCAAGTTCCTAATGAGACATTAAAAATAATGAACAGAAAATTATTTCACATTAATTAATCACTGAGGTTTGTAATTCAATGCAAAAGAATCAAGACAAGCAGTACTCTGTATTTTTATGATAAGATCACTGTCATTCCAACATGTTTCTAAACAGAAGGAGCTGAGTTTCAGTGATCACAGGAAAAATTCTTTATGGAAGCCATGGATATTTGTGAAAATCATATATCCACACATATGTGTTATGGTGTCAAGGCAGAAAAAGGCTAAAACGTTCAGTTTTAAAGTTGTTAGCATTTCACACAGTGTGTGGGTGTGTGTAAAACAGAATAGTTACTTAGTATGACTAAACAAATCTGTAATGTATAATGCTGTAAATACTAAGTTAACAACAGCATGCTATACCCAAGTATAACACTGCTTAGGGTAAAGGCTGTTTTACCCCCACAATAGATAAGCATCAGCTTCATAAAATATCCAATTTGTCACCAAAGATTACAGGGTGCTTTTTCTTTTAAAACATACCTTCTAAAAAAAAAAAAACAAACCATACCTTCCTGCTAGTTCCTTATCCAAGTACTTGGCAGCCAGTCTTGCCCCATAAACTTCAGCCTGGAGAACAGCTATGTGTCTACGAAGGGCTTCATTCTCTTTTCTCAATAACTTCACTTCAGCTTCAAGTTGAGCTTCTTTCATTTTTTCTTTTTTATTTGCTTCAAGCTCTCTCTCCTATTGCAATTTTTAAAATACATAATGTAATGAAAATACTTGTAAGATTCTTTAGCAATATACTATGTTCCTTAAAATAGACAAAAGCAGTCTATGATACTAACAATGAAAGCAGATGATAAATGTTATCACTTCCTGTCTATAAAATGAAGATAAAGATTTGGATTCAGTTCTGCTTAACTGCTAAGAGAAGACACTAGAACAATTCTAGATAATTACGTGCTTTGTTAGGACCTTGCTACTTTTAAAAAAAAGTAGTGTCTTTCAGCTCATGTTATCACATACTAATAGAAATAGTCTCAACTGTCATTGATTATTCCTTTCTAAAAATAATCCAATAAACTGCACAAAATAAAATAATCACTCTAGTGATCGTGGCCAAACATTTCATTAACATTAAAACAACAATTCTATAAAGCAAGTCAAAATCATTCAGTTATATACAAATTATATCTTACATATAATGTACTGGTTATAAGAAATTTATAATGCTTAAATTAGAACTAATATTCTAATGTTTAAAAAATATTTGACATCATGAAAAATGTTGGTAACAACAGCATTAAACCACTTATGCATTAAATATTTTCTATAAGCATAAGCATTTCTTAAAAGTAGATGATCACTGGCCCTCCCTGGTGGCGCAGCGGGTTAAAGCACAGCACTAAGAAGCTTAAGCCACTTCATGAGTTCGATCCCCGCCTGCCCCGGAGGTGACCACATGGCTGGCAGACCTCTCCTGACCCGCCCGCTGCTCCCCTGAGCGGTGTACTTCGTCGATCTGCCTGTTCTGCTCCCCTCTCCTTCTCTGGTGAATCCTCTCACCCTCCGTATCTCTGGCCTGTACCCTAGTTCTATATGAATAAATAAATAAATCTTTAAAAAAAAAAAAGTAGATGATCACTGAATTTTTAGATCTAGCTTGTCTATTTGTCCGTACATTACAGTGAATAAAGATGTTTCCTCAAGAATATACTGGCTTCACTTGCTTACTATGAGGTAGCTTGGACATCCACTTTCATCTCTCATATAGGGTTACCAGACTATGCTCATCTATGAGTCACATATGCAAATTTGTGCTGTTAATAGGTGTTAGCCAGAGAATATAACATCAAGATCAATTTTTTAGCATAAGTTCACATGTGTGAAGTAATGTTCTATTTACTTGAAAAGTATAAATTACAATACATCTGTTCCTCTAGAAGCAAGGTTACATGCAATGCCTTCAAGATCCAAGCACAGAACAGATTGGTGAGTATAAGACAAAGTGAAATAGAAAACAGAAAGCATAAAGTCCTGCTAAAGGCATTCTCTCTTTCTTCTCACTTTCTTCCACTCCCTCTCCCCCCTTAAACACACACACACACACACACACACGCTGTTTTGCTAAACAACATTCTGAGAGCTAAATATGGCCTCTGATGGTGTTATTTTTGGATCTGGAAAATTATATATACTTGCATTTATCCTAAGTAGAACTGTTTTTCCTAACACATTGATTTATAAAACTTATAAATTCTGTGAGTTATATTTGTTGACAACATGTGTAAGACACTATTTCTTAAACAACCATATTCCCTTTACAAGACTTAAGATCTACCATAGCACCAGGAAAAGTTGTTTTTCTTGAGAAAGGTGGTAAATGACATTGTTTCTATTGCATGGGTACTATTTATTATAATTATTTCCTTTTTTATTGTTAATGTTAAGATACTAAGAAACAAACAAATTTCTAGTGATTTATGGTATATGTTTGCTCTGGTCTATAATTATGTTCTATACTTCTTTGGCAACAGGACATCAACACATGATATATTTAAACATCGTGATAATACACATTCAGTACATGGCAGTGAGTACCACAATCTCAAAAACAAAAAATAATACATAAATCAAAATGAACAACTATACCAAATGTTGCCCATATTTATCACTTCCTTGAATAAAAACATTTGTTACATATGTCATAAAAAGAAGAAAGATTAGCTAGCAGGCATTTTTATAGTTTTTAGACATTGTTTTTAAAGAATATAAAAAGAAATAATAACCCAGAATCCTCCTTTTATAACACCTTTGGAATCATTAAAATTTCAGAACCTATGTCCTAAATAAAAAGGCTGGTATTAATTCCAAAAGAAACCAGTGTGGATAACATAAAAAGTTTTTTTATGACATTCATTGAAGTTGATGCTGTTTATTTCAGAGAAGAGTTCCTAAAAGAATAAGAATTCTTTATAAGCTAAATAAACTTTATGTTGAAGATTATCTACTACAATTAATTTAATGAGCAATTCGTACAATATTTGTGAAATCTGAAAAAAATGTACTATGCCATCACTTTAATTGTTTAAACCCTTAATACATCTGGCAAACTCTCAGGCATGAAATTCAAAGATGCAAGCAAGAACAGGGCTAAACAAAGCAAAATTAATCACTTTAAAAGAAAGTTTTCTTTTACTTCTTTTAGTTAATTATTTTTTTATTGCGTAACAACTAAGATGTTCATTTGGTACTTGGATATTTAAATAGTATATATTTTTTCAAAAAGTGAAACCATGTGACAAACTGCAACCTTATTATACTGAGGTAGTAGAGAAAATATTAAAAATTTACATAGTACTGTTATTTTCTAAAATTATGTTCTGGTAAAGGATTTCAAATTTCAGTAGTTTTAAAGGCCATACAATTATTCTCAAAATTGTTGAAAAGTTATACAGCACTGGATGAATAAGAAACCAACATGCATATTCTTTCTCTAAGAAACAGAAAAATAGAAAAAAATTAGGCTGTTTAATATTTTTTCAGAACAGTCAAGTGGAAAAACCAATTGCCCTTTTGAAGTAGTGGTCTGAGGAAGTTAAAACAGTGAGAAGTTGTCCAAAACTGATGGGAATTGCAAATAATGGCTATAAATCACCAACCAAAGGAAAATCTTTAACATAGTTATATCAAAAAATAAAAGGGCAATGGGCCACCCACTGAGCTTTACAGTTGTTGACATATTAAAAAACTTCCCTAATTATCACTTTCAAACACAAAGTGGCAACATGTGAAATGCAAATAAAACAAGAACACTTGTGCATAACACAGTAAATCAAAACAGAAACAGTACACTTACCAGTTCTTCCACAGAGGGGACAGACTTAAGGTATAAGAACAAAGTTTTATAATTAGAAAAAATCAAAGACAAATTTATCTAGTGATATAATCATTATAAGGAGAATTCCTGTATGTTTAATACCATTTGGATAAAGTTCACTAAAGTATACTTGAAAATCTGTAAGAAATATAACTGCAGAGTACTAGATCAAACACTAGTTTAATGTCTTTCTATTTTATTACCCTGTTTGAAATACAATTGTTAAAATTTCTGGTAAATTCTTTTCTAGTGAAAACTACCATGTATCTCAATGCTAATAACAAACACTAATGCAGCAGTTATGAAACTGATTCATTTTGTTAAACAGAATAATACTAAGGAGATACGTTGACTTTTAGACTTGAGGGGAATGTAAATATTCATTTCATTAAATTTTAACATACCGGTATTAGAAACAAATTAACCAATCAAATGGAATTAACTAAAAATACATAAAACTTTAAAATGTCATTACTGTCATCATCAATACCACGTCATCTCTAGTCTCCCTCACTGCATCTGTTGTATTTATTGTGGTGCTCCCTGTAGTTAACAAAGGGCCTGACTATATAGTACATGAGGTCGTATTGAAATAAAATTTGATTTTTTTTCTATGTAAACAACATATATTGGTTAAGGGGAAATAACTATGGAAAACTTATAATGAATATTACATAAGCATTACAATATGTTCAGCACTGAAAAAATGCTAGGCAGAGCAAAAATGTGGCACTGGTTTGCCCCAACTGTATTTTCCCCCTTTTTTTTTATTAACAAAACCCCAATTTTAGGACATGTTGGCTGCACAACTAATGAAGACTGATGGACATTAGGGCTGCAAGAGAGATCTCTAAATTCACCAGCAAAAGTTGGAGGATTTCAATCAAAGTTCTTTAAAGTAGGTTAATGCATCTGGGAAACAAATGTTTACCCTTTCTCCTCGTGCCTCCCTTCTTCAGCCTGGAACACAGACATGAAGAAATGGGAGGAAAATAACCATGAGCACAGCAGAACCTTGTTATCTGTGGCATAGCTGTATCACATCCAGATTGTCTGTTGTCTGGAGGTGAGAGAATAGTTTATACTAGCCAACAATAACTCCAGTGATACTGGGAATCTGTGTTATATGCAGCTGAACAAATTCCAATGATTCAATACACCAAAAGGTCGTTTATTATGTTCTAATCCTAACTCTCTCTTAAATATAGTTATACAGATATTTTTGCATAGGAAAACTTCCTGAGTATCACCTGATGATTAATCTTTTCACCTATCACCTCTTGTTAATGAGATCATAGATGATCATGAGGATCATCTTTACATTTCCTGTGTTTTTTAAATTTCCCACAATGTATAATTACCTTTTAATATTAAAAGGCTTCATTACAAATTGTCCCAAATAAATGTTTGTATATATTACTCTCCAAACTACTTACCAGTTTTGCCTTAATAGTACCAGAGTCAACACTCTGGCCAGTTTTCGCATGAAGCTGAAGCTGAATAGAATGTAACTGCAAAAGCTGATCGTGTACTTCTTTCTCCAGCACAACTTTCTCTGCTTGGGTCTCTGTCAGTTCAGATTTCAGATCCACCAACTGTGCCTTATAAAGCAACAATAATAAAAATCATTAAGTATGCTTAATATTCTTTAATCATTATTTATCATTCAAGAAAGACTAGACTATCTTTAAAAAGAATAAAAACTGGAAGAGCATTACCTGACTGAGATAGAGAACATCCATCTAAGCTGACAAAATCAGTTATAAGTATAAAATATCTGAACAGCAAGAAAAGTCTACTATAAATATTTAACTTCCAATAACACAGAATGAATGCTACTCCCATGCTTTAAGAAACCCTTCTTCACTGCCTTATTTTTAAAATAAATGTTTATGAAAACACACAGGTAGGGGATTGCTCACCAAACTGTAAAAAATTATGTTATAGTGATTTACTGACATTAATAGTATAAGATAGCCAATATGCAGTGCTCTGTCTTCATCTTGGAGAATACTAAACTAAATCAAATCAGTGTAACCACTCTCTAATAAAGTTATTTTAGGGGCTAACACATGTGCTACTGAGCCTTCAGTGGGCCTAAAGATCAGAGTTAACTGTAGAGTACAGTTAATTGTTACACCATAGAATTCATCAACACCGTTTATTCATTCAATTTCCTTCTCAGTTTTCAGAACAGACATAATTTTGCAGTTGTGCACAGGCTGTGTCACCCACGTGTGTGGTGTTACCAATTAACAGGAAAATTTAAGACCAGGTCTTGGCTTGCTCTTCAATGTAATTTTACTAAGCACTAAGGAGCCCAGAACTATGGCAGCATAGTAGAAGTGTGGCAAATACTTTGAAAGTATATTTTGAGAAACTTTCATATCAGCCAAGATGATGAATACGCATGCTAACCAACTCTACGCATGCTAACCAACTAAATAAAAATGTGGCAAATTAAAGATCTATTTATCATTGGTCCAGACTCAAGGAGCTCAGAGGTCAGAGTACAGAAATGTGTCTCTGGATTCCAACATCATCATCAATTAGTACCTAGTACATAAAAGATGCTCAGTAATTTTCCTTAAGTTGAAATAAATTTTAATAATAACTGTGATTCCAGATATATCACTGTCTTGAAATTTTCTCACTTATGAAACAAGGGTAATTTTCTATGGTTTTGACTATTTTCTGTAGACTATTCATCTTATATATAAAGCAGTCATTATTCACTAGTCTTATATTTCTCAGAAAAGTCTCATAACAATATTTCTTGATTTCTGGCATTTTCTCATTACTTATTGGTAGACTTATACCTGCAGTCAGTTTGGCTGAATATAAAATTGGTGGAATCTATTTTCATTCCTTGAGTATTTTATATATGTTGCTCCATTGCTTCCTGGTACAAAAAATACTGACTGCTTTTGAGATGTCCAGTCTCAACATTTCTTCTCTTATAAATGACTTGGTCTTTATTTTTAAATCCCAGAATTTCACTAAAATCTACTGGGTGTTAATCTAGGTCCATGTAAACTCTTCAACATGCAGATTCCATCTTGTTTTATTTCAGAAAATTTTGTTGTTAAAAAATTTTATGAGTGAATTAATTAGTAATTTTTTTTCATTAAGGCAAAATTCCCATAATAGGAGGTAATGAAAATAATTTGGAACTAGATGCAGGTGGTGGTATGTGAATTTTGAAGGTTGTAAATGACACTGAATGATTAATTAACATTAATCATTTTAAAGTGAATTTCTCAGTGGCATTCATAATATTCAAAATCATCACCTGCAGCTAGCTCCAAAATACTTTCATTACCTCAAAGGAAAGCCTCTTACCTATGAAAGTAGTCACAACCTATTCTCCCTGTGCCTAGCTTCTGGGAACCACCAATCTGTATGTCTCTATGGACTAACCGATTCTACATATTCATATAAATGGAAGCATAAAACCTGTGCCCTTATTTGTCTGGCTTTTTTCATTTAGCATAGTATTTTCAAAATTCATCCATGTTATAGCAATACCTACATTTTATCCCTTTGTATGGCTGAACAACAGTATATCATGTATACAATGCCACTTGTGAGTATATGCCACAACGTGTTTATCATTCACTGGTGGAGATTTTGGCTGTTTCGCCTTTTGGTGATAATACACAGTGGGGCTATGAACATGTGTGTATGATTTTTGGGTGTGTTTTCAATTCTTCTGGGGATATAGCTAAGAGTAGAATTCCTGGGCCACATGATAATTCTGTTTAACTTTATAAGGAACTGTAAACCTTCCATAGTCACTGAACCATTTATAACAAATAAGGATTTATTGATATTAATATTAATTATACTTCTTACTTCCATATTTGTAATTTTTTCCCAAATCTTTTTCTTGTAAGTTCTTTTCCTCGCTATACTTACTTTTCTGTTTGTTTCTTCTGATTAAGTTTTCATTCGGAAGTGATTTTTTCCCCTAAATTCTTCCAGTGCTCTACAAGTATTAGTTTTTAAATTATTACACTTCTGAGCTTTCCCATATCAGAATTATACTGCTGTATTAATAGCTGACTATTAATTTCCTTTATTTTATAACAGCTTTCAGTTTTATCTGTTTTGTGGTCATATATTTCTGATACCACTTGATTGTACAGTGTTTTATTATTCTATTAGTTTTCATTACTTTTGACTATAGCCCATCTTATTGGGACTCACCATTCTCTACTAATCCATGTTTAAATAAGGCTTCCACAACAGGAAGTTGAGCAAAGTGCTTCTAGCATCACAGCTGGCAGACACCTTCCTCTTGCCTTAAAATGAGCTACTTAAAACCACCATTCCTTAAAACCACTGTTTGAAGTGTCCTTCCCTACCCTGATTAGAGGTTTCTCTTCCCTTCAAACCTCACATTTCTGCTCTGCTCAACTTGGATTCTACTTTTGCCAGCATTTCTGTACATTTTCATTCTTAATTTTACTCCAAAGCAGTTTTTGTTAGAAATTTCTGAAATTCAGAAAGTGCTTTTCTAATCTTCCTGAAGCATCAACATGAGGCAAGTTTGCCAATTTTATCGTTTGCTTGTTTAGGTTTCCCACCCAAATGTCCTCATCTTTTGGTGATTTCAGTGTTTCTGGTTTCCCTGCCATCTCCTCCACATGGGATCTGTGTGGATTCTGCTATTCCAATCTACCCATATTCTGGGGTTTGTAAGGAACCCTTATCTAGTTTTGCTAAGGAGGCTATCATTTGTTTTCTTTTGTGATTCCTGTTTGTGTGTAACAGTTTTTAAACATCTATTTAAAATACCCTTAACTGAAAAAAACATAAATGTATGACAAATGCTTCGTAAACTTTTGCCCATTTAACAAGTTGCCCACCATAAGTAAGCATTTAAAATGTCATTATTACTAGACAATAATCAGAGTACTTTGAAAACTGTATTGTTAAATTACAACTAACTCTGGTCTAGAAAGTCTGTAAGTGTTTGGTTTTCTTGGTCTTTGAAACAAAAATAATCACAAAAGAAAACTATTTGAACAGAATGCACACTTATTGAGTAATATGTAGCTTATGCTAAAGTCAACATACTCAGAAAGTTTATAATAAGCAATTAAATTTATAATAATCCCTAATTCTTTTTTTCCTTTACATTGACTTTCATTCTGTATTTTTATCACTGTTTTGTGGTATTGTCTAAGATATTCCTCTATTCCTAATATTTCTTATAAAGTGAAGTTAGAACTGAAGCTTTAATTAAATTCACTTAAACCTTTTTGGTCAAACAGTTTGGTACTATGTTTTATCAACACACATATATCACCTGGCTGTCCTCCCGTATGATTTGTCCTCCAAATTAAAAATCACATGATCTGTTAATAACTTAGTAAAACTTCTTAAGGTAAAGAAGTATAAGTGATATTCCTTAAATTAATGTGGCAGACCAATATTCACATCAGAATTAATGTAATCTAAAAGGACAAGGGAAAACAGGAAAGTTCATAAACACGGACTCTTCATTAAGTGAAATAAGTGCTCAAATATTATTCAACTTTTAAGATAATAATTTTTTAAAAGAGAACATCAAAATTATTGAAGAACAGACATCAAAATTCAAAGTCTGATTTCATTTTTTCTTAGAACAAGTATTTAAAATTTACTCCAAATTTATCAATAGTTAAATCTTTTCTTCTCTGTGATATAAGCATGTTAGCTTTTAGGAAAAAAGTTAATCATTGGTAAACTATGTCAAGATTAGAAACTTCTATATTTTATTTAATGGTAACCTTCATAATACCACAGAATTTTCAACTCCAAAGGGGCTTAAAGAACCTAAAGATTATGATATAGTATTAGTATATCAATATGAAACCAAGATCCATCAAGGCTGCTTTTATTTTGAGGACTACATAACTGGCTAATGTCAAAGTAGTACTTTGAACCCAATTCTAACTGCTAGGGTAATGTAGTGGAAGTGTTATTATGCAAGTAGCTATAAAGAAAATAAGTTCCTATAGCAACATGCATTTAACTTAAAAACAACATTTACTGCTACCACAAAACCAGCATCTACCTACCATATGCCAGGTGTACACATTCCACATGTTATCTCTAATTCCTCTTTATTTTTTTAATGCATCCAAGAACTGAGGTACAGGCCAGAAGTCCAGGGCGATGAGAGGATTCACCAGAGACAGAGTGGGGAGCAGAACAAGCAAATCTACTGAAATACACTGCTGAGGGGAACAGCGGGAGAGACAGAAGAGGTCTGTTGTCCCGTATGTGAGCCACCTCCCTGGCTGGTATGGAACTCTTGCCTCAGTGGCTAGTGATAGCTTGACAGCACTGGGGCTAACAGGGAGCGCCCCCTTACCCGCCCCCTTATCTCTAATTCTTCTCATATTTCCAACTTTTTTTTTAATAGTTAAGCAATTTACTCATGATCACACATTTAGTAAATATTAGACCCAAAACCAATATGACCATAAAAAAAGCCTGAGCTTCTATACCATGGTCGCAACATATCAAGTAAATCATAAAAGTTAGGGGAAAAAAGAGCTGATTTCAATCTTATAAAAGTGTTTTTAAGGTTTTAAAAAAACAGACGATG